TTATAATCTCTCCCCATCAAACGGTACTTGTCTTCAATTATACACCCCCAAATTTACCATTTAGTAGCCAGTAAGTGGCAGTCTTTATTTGTCAAGAAGGGACCAGATCATTACCGGGGACTCCCAAGTTGCGGATATCGCATATTATAATTTCAGTTTATTATGATTGCTGGGAGCGATCTGGAGGGAGGCCAAACGTCGGGTCCGTCACTCAGATTTCTGGAACTTTACCAACTCCCTATAATACTTGAGAACATACCCAGAATACTCAGCCGATCAGCATTAACAGACCTCGGGTGGGTGGATCTGAAGAAATTGAACATAACAAGCCATGTTTAACAGGGTATATAACTCCTACTACGCAACTTCTTGATTACCTTTCGTCACCCTTGTACCTTGTGAAAATTTAACCATTATGTCAGGAGTGTATGTGCCTGGTTAGGGGACCGAAAAGCATAGAAATGCTCTGGGGCGATGAAATGCATAGCTGATAAAAAGAAAACCTAGAAAGGGACCGGACGTGTCATGTGAGGATCACATATCGGCCGGGGGATGCTGTTAACCACAGAAATGTGTCTATCATCTACTTGCAGCTACCAATCATCCGGTTAAGGTGTCATAAGTTATCATGCTCAATACACGGATATAACATAGACCGCATTTACAAGCTTCTAAGCTTCCCTCTCAAAATAGATGTGACGTACATGAGGTCATGCAGATCTTAGCTTCTCAAACCAGGGAGTATTTTAAAGTTTTGGCCATGCTTACAAACCATTTTAAGGACGGGGTTTTTAAACTTTTTTAAACTTAGAAATGATTTTATATAATAGCTTTGCCAAGGTATCGTTTTGGCAAGGTATTATGTAATGTTCGGGGTGGATTTTGGGGCTATTTCTTTGTCACACCTCTTTAGTTTGCCTGCGATTGTCCCAAAATAAAATAATTTAAGAATTTTCTTAAACATGGTGTTTAAACCAATTACCATTTTCCAAAAGTTGACACAGAGGTACGCACAGTCAGGGACAAGGATTTTAAAACTTTCAAGTTGCCGCTGCTAAATTTCCACTGCACAGTGCACAATGTCAAAAGATAACAAGGGTATTTCCTGACATATTTGAGCTGCATTCCCCAAAATTATGCATGAACAGCGTAACACTTTGTCTCATGAAGTGTACTGCAGGTGTCACCGACCACGTACATTGTTTACAAATTCCCCTAAATTTATTATCTACATAATATTATTACGTTACAACAAAAGGAATTCTCTGTAATTCCAAACTCATGTGACAGACCGCGACCAGTGACCCGTGATCACTGACTGTTGATGACATAAAGAAGATTCGCAGCATAAATAATGGCACAGATTCAGGGTAAATACAAACTTCTCACAACACTGCACCTTGACAGGGTTCCCCTCTAGTGAGGTCTCTCTCTCTCCCCCCTCCAGCACCCTCATAATCCCAGTACACAGTGATAACGTTGAACTTCTGTGTGAGAACAAGTTACCCCACTCTGCACTGTTCTCAGGTTAATTTACTATAAATTAGTCCCGATGAATGCAATGGCGAAAGCTGTTGATGTACCCAACAATCTTAATCGGATGACCATTACCCATGATCAATTAGTGTAATTTTACGGGATTCCCACTATCTCTATTTTTCTCGTTTCCTGAGAAACATCCCACCATTCTCAACACACAGAATGTTACGTTACACTTACCACTCAACCTGCCAATATGGAGAAACCACTTTTTTGTACAGCTTCACCCCCTTCTAAGGAGACAATAGGGTTCCATTGTTAGGGTGAACAGGTCTAACTATGGGGGTTTACAGCACGTGCGGGAGAGAGAACAGCTGGCCTAGAGGGGGTCCCGACGAACGTGTCCCAATACCAGCCCACTTCACCCCCGGAACATTGCTGCCGAAAACTTTTGCCTGTTCACCTTCTCAACATCCTGTACAATGTCCGATGCCCACATACACATTGACATTGTGACTCGTTCTTTATCAGCTGAGGGCAGCTAAATGAGGCTGATAAGAACATAGGTACCATGGTGCCAAGGTACGTATTGTAGCAGGGTAACCTCTACATTTCATGGTATAAATATTTAGGTATTAATGTGATAAGTGTGTATATTGAGTTACGTAACTGTAACACCACTCATAACTTAAGTAAGTGTAATGTCTAATTAGGCTTTGTGTTGGTTGCCATAATTTCAGGGGGAAACCGGAAACTTCTCTTTGTGAGGCTGCTCTATTAGCTTTTCCTGGCGAGCTCTTGAGTCCAGAACAGTCTGGAACCACCCTATATTACCAGAACAGTTCATAGACTCTTTGAAAGGTGGTCGACTACATAAAATGACGTGATGTTGGTAGAGTTATACTATAAATAGATGTGTTGTTAACCTACACATGATAAGAGTATAGAGTTGTTAGGTTCCGGTAGTTGGACGATAGTCAGAAAAGTCCGGAAATTTGGAAGTGTCGGAGTGAGTGTGGTGTCATATTTATTATTATTGTGATTTACAGTGAGAAACTGAAAATGTTGGGTAGTCTCGACAATGTTATTTTCCCTCAATATGATAATAATACAATCAGAACTTAGGTTTTTTTGCGGTCGGAATAACAATTTTTCTTGACAATAAAAACATCATACCGAAATTAATATAAGATTGTTGACAAATTATGATATTAATCCACCGCATCAATGCAAAAAATGTAGGCTGGAAAACTTAATTTCGTCGAAGTTTGTCATGTCGCATTAGATGTAAACCAACATTACAGATTTTCAATCCTAAATAAGATTATAGAGACATGAGTTAAACCAGTAAATAATGCCGTTATTCCCCTCTGAATGTTTCTATCTTAATTTTCACGGGGACTGATTTAAGCGGGTAGAAGTAGCCATCAACACCCAGCAGTACTTATCTCTTTAAAACGGTCCCTAAAATACTGGTGACCAACAACCAACACAATTTATATCCTAGTCCTACTCTTCAATGCCCATCACTACCAACCAAAATCTCGAACATTTCAAGTTCAACACGTCGATAGCTATCACCGGGCTGACAAAGGTCGGGACGCATTCCGTTCATATTCCACATAGTATTGCGATAAAGTGCTAGATAAAGCACAGACAGTGCAGACACCGTACTATTCGGAGCATGCAAGATAAATACGCCTACGGACCTCCATTATCAGAGTCTAGATCACAGAATTACTCATGAAACGTGACTGAATAATGTCCTCTTCTGAATTAGCAGAGATTTCTGTGCCACACTCTTCTGGCATTAGTGGGCACTCTCTACCGGTTTTAAATTCTGCCGAATAATTTACAAACCCATGACATCTTTTCATAAGCTGAGTCATGCATTATTCATAAGCTGAGTTAGTAGGGGTCAAGGAGTGTGACTCTGACTAACAATATGTGGGCAATATGTGCATTTATGAGTAATCCTTGATGAGATGACCAAGCACTTGCAGTAGTGCGGTGACCACGGACAATGCTTGTTCTGAAGAAATGTGCATAACATCATCTTTTATTCAATACTTGGAAACGTTTTGGGATCGGTCCAAGATTTCGTACAATAGCTGTGTAATTGATCAATTGTTTGGGTATTTGAAAACCCACGGGTTCAGAGCAAGTGCCCACTGAATTTAACGTGACCCACTGATGAACAGGGCACGGGTGGACGAAGGACCTGGTCACGAGTAACTGGTCAAGCTTGGAGCTAAAGTGGACTGTAGTGTGTGAACTAGAGAATAATGCAGGGTTCCATGATGTTCCACTGAAGGTACCCTGAACAAGAATTTAAACTTTACCATCTAGTATGAAATAAGACCCCGACCTTGACGTGGTTTTTCATTGTTACAATGAATTCTGTGCTGTTTTAGAGGAATTCTTGTACGAGACCACGACTGTGTCCAGCTGGTGTACATATTCGGCACTTGCTAAATTCTACTACTCGAGCTGCTAAGGGACTTAATCAGTTTCGAGGCATCATGAGATTAAATATAGTATACTATAGGCATAGAGAGCATCCGAATGGGTTTAATGTGTATCGAATTGCCGTGTAAAATTTTAATTCTATTCTATTGTATTAAACTATTAACTCTCATCTGAGTGCATCGTCCAAACCTCAACCAAACTATCACGTACTAATATTAAATTATTGTTATATACAATATATAATGTAATAAAATATTACATTAATGTTCGTCATTTTAATAAATATTAAATTAATGTTCTCTATTTTAACTACTCAGGTATGGCTTATCCGGCTCGGCGTTCTTTTGAACTTGAATAGCAGATTGTGATGCGTCACAATAACAACTTCACAATTAGTTTTCGGGAGAGAAAATTATGAAATTAGAATTTGATTTCAGCCTTCAGCATCCACTTGGGGCCATCAGCACTGGCCGTCTCCAGAAAGTATTCTAATTTAGTGCCGAACAAATACAATTCATGTAGTTGGGTAAAATTATCGCTGCCAGCCTCCACCGACTACGAAGCTATTTTCATTCTTGTTTTCACTGCATGTTCTAAAAGCAAGCTGTCCTGAGGACCATTAAACCGAGCTGCTGAGCTGTCAGAACCTCGCCCATCTCCGACCCTACTATTTACATGATAATAGACTCTCTTCCCCGTACGTATCAAATTTACAACTTTTATCAGAGACATTATATAGCGATTAGAGGGAACGAGACCGTAGGAAGGAGAGTGAGAATTGGGATGATATTAATGTTGGGGAGACAGTTACAGGGGGTGTACTATCATCAGTCATCACAGGGTGAGAAGATGTTAGTCAGTGATAGTGACAGCCGCTTCCCAGGCTAGATGGTCGGTTTTGGAGCTCTCCCAAGAGAAACAATGTACCAAGCACTGATTATTGGTTATTGTGTGGAATGTTTTGTGTTATCTCACATTTTTACTTCATTCCACCAATTGAGTTTATTTGTTTTCATAAAGATAAGGGGAGACAAGAGATAACAAGAATTTTTGAACTAAGCTGAAATGATTATAATATCGTATACAATAAACGAGAACACATATAATACCATAAGTCAAACATAAGTTATTTGTAAGAGTTAACTTTAAACTTTGCTGCTTCAATCGAATCCTACTCTAGCTGGTTTAAACTGTTTCGTGAGTTAACACATGTGTTTGAGTGGTGGTACGGTGTTTTACACCGTGGTATACCCGACTAAATTTTGTAAAACTTTTACACTACGTAAGTGGTGGGAGAGGTGTGATTTTTTCTGTTATCTTAGGCAAATATTTAATATTTACTGGAAAATGGGCGTGTACCACACCCTTTGGAGATGAATTTTACTGCTGTCCTATAACTGTGCGATGAGTCGCTAAAAATATACTGGTTTTCAGGTAATCTCATCATAATTTATGAGTGCAGAAAAAATGTTGGTTTTTGTAATTTCAAAAAACGTTAATTTCTTGTTCTAAATACTAAATTGGTGGGTTCAGGGACAAAATTTCAAGTTCCAGGAATTTCTTTTCAATATCCAAGTCCAATTGTATTATGAGGACGATCGAATTTTTGAACCAAACATTATTCAGCAAACAGCCAGACTAGGATTCACACAGCGAACAATTATGTATGCCAATCAATTTAAGGAGGGATTAATATTTCTCATTAATTATAAATGAGTAACTTTTAACATGATACTTTAAATGCAGCCCCATTCTTGAAAGTTCCTAGTGTAGAAAAACAATAACCTAGATAAGATTCTTCGACAATGCAATGAATGTATAAATGTCACTAATATCATAACTCCCTTTAGTTTTGCATGATAAACAGGCTAAGTAAAAACGTGGCACATCCTAACCGTTTTAACCGAGAATTATGACTGGGTCACGTCAAAAAATCTTTTTCCCAGTTCTAGTTAGGTAACATCACGGTAAGATTGTAATGTATGATGTGTATCAACACACAACAAATTCAAATTTGCTTTTTAAATAAAGCCTTCTACTTCTACTCTAAAGTTATTTTATACAATAAATTAATAAGTTTGCTAATTCTTTGGAGTTGATAACATGAAAATAGATCACTTTACCCCCAAGATTAGCATCCTGAAACAAACCACTAGAAGACAAACAATCGTGCCGTCAATAATCAAACATTATATAGTACCGTCGGGATCCAGCTATTTTGCGTAAAAATCAGTATTCATTTCACGAAAATAACGAACAATAGCATTCCTTAGATCTGGTCAATGATAATGTCTTCGGATTGCTGCATGCAGTTCAGAGATTAACACATAAAATGTTGCTCAAATGGCAATTATGAATTAACAGGTACACAATGCCGATTAAATGATCAAATAGTGCTAACGCTGGAGCCACCCTCTTCTTCAGACTGTCACCCTCTCATGCATCTTTTGGCGAACGTCACTTCAAATCGAGAAATGTTTCGAATTTTTGCAGGAATTGTATTGATTGCATTGGGAGCGTTGAAAGAATTATATTATGTGACGTTCATCCTTGCACCGGTTTGGTTTGAAAAGCTTGCATGAAATGGGTGAACAATCTAAAAACTGGCTCCAGAGAATAGAAGATTGAATAAAGTAATTTAGCCTCGTCAGTCCACAAACAATATGCTCCGTTCAATTTACGGTCGTTATTATTATGCCCGATAAAACTTTTAACATCAACGAAAAATGGTTATCTTGCCATTCGATCATTACTGTTTTGTACCCAAAGATACAAGAAAGTACTACAGAAATTGTATAATTTATCTGAACTTAAAATTATGGCATGTAGACATCATTGGAGAATGAGCATGCCAGCAAATGGACTGACGAAGCGACACAGCCCTTTTCAGAATAGTGATCATTTGGAAATATTCTTAAATATCCGATCAGTCTATTACATTTCTGAAAGGAGCCAGAATAATATTGGACACCAACTTACGTTGTTAAATGCGTCTTTTAAATGTTACCACGAAGCAAACGGAAACAATTAATCTGTACAGTAAGTAACACAACAAAATTATATTTTGTTGAAATACAGCGTAAAACAATCCCTCTGCTTCATGGTTTAAGCTTAACCGAAACAAAAGCTAAAATTTTAAAACAATAAGTTATTTTAAACAGTTATGATAAACAAGCCTGACGGTGTGGTCAGATGTAATACGTTCTCATATTTAATAAGTTATGGATAACCGAGATGTGTAATATCATCAGTCATCATCAGGCTGAGTAAATGAATTGATAAAATGATCTTGATAATAATAATATCTCTATGCATATGGAAAGTACGATTCTAGGGGTAAGTCAAAATGAAAAAGGCCAAATATAAACGAACAAACATGACTGGTATGAAAAAACACTCAACTCGAATCTTTCATCTTTAGGTCGTACAAAAACATTATTTACATAGATATAATAAAATATGGTACACGATTTATTCACCTAATATTAAATGTTACGTATTTCACCTATGTGTTACTAGAGTTCTGTTGGGTAAGTCTGAACAGCTGCTTGAACTTGTTTATCAAGTGTTTTTGGTGCTTCCTCAGCTGTTTCAGTTCCTCTCTTGATTCCTGCTCCTCACGCTCCACTTCCGAAATGTACTCAGCAGATTTCTTCAATATTATCACTTTCGATACCCGGTCAGATCCACTGATGGGTTCCACCTCTGCTTGCAGGCGCTTGTAGCTGTCCTTGAGGTCGTTGCGGCGCTTGCGCTCGAGGACATTGTGCGCGAACCGCTTAGTGCAGTTCTCGCTGCATATCTCATCATCATCATGGGAGTGGTTCGCTGAGAGATTCTTCAGCTGCTCTAGGGAGAGTTTAGAAGCTGCTTCCTCCGCAAGATTGCTGTTGTTGTGGGGATGACGCGACTGTGATATCCGTCGTTTTGGGGAAAGTAGACCGTCGTCTGACGAACTTAGAGCACTGTCCGATGAGATCTCAGCCAATTTTCTCTTCAGATATATCATCTCATCCTCTTCCTCTCCTGAAAATATTACAGGTTACATTTCTTTGAAGATAACGTTCCGCCAATCATTTAATCCTTTACCGCTAATTAGATGAAATGCTGAACGCTGCATTAATTAATGCTTTGAGCTTATCTGAGTTCAAAAGCGCGGTGAATTTCGAGCTCAAAGCAAATCAATCAATATTAGTATATCATATATATATGGCATGATCTTGCAATCGACAGTTTTACATATTCTATTATTTTTTTCCTCGTGCATAACGCTGCCAAGCTGTAGCTGGATCGCTCGACGACCTGGTGCCGCTTGAGCGCCAGCCAAGAAGTCTTAAAGTTTTGTCAGTTTCGTGCCGAAACTGCCACTCTGTTTGTACAGATGTGTTACATATGGAAACATTACATAATATCCACGAATCACTCATACATTTAAATATACAAACATAGACGTAATATTCAGCTCAGAGCGGAGACTCTACAAGCATGGTAAACGTGAAATGTCGGGGGGGGGGGGGGGGGCGTGTCATTAACAAAGTTTCGTAAAGATAGTCAGTAAAACCGTGACAAGCATGCACCTTTTCTCCAAGTTCCAATTTTAGGGCGATTTGCTCATTTACTTCCCCTAGAACTTTAAAACGAGTGAAACTTGAATACCCAGTTCATATCAGGACTAACTCTGCCCACACATTTAGCAGGCGGACAGTTCACGGCTAGGCTGTGAGACTGGCAGTAGACACCTGGGCTAGATACGGACGGCAGATAAATTAAAGTGATATTATGCCAGTCTGCCGGCTAGTGACAGGGATATATCCTGATGTGCTGTGGTACAGACTGCGAAATGCCGGCATATTAGCTCCGATATGGAGCTCGTATTCCGATTAATTTTATAGGACATAAGAGTTGCATCAATGACGATAATTGTTTAGGAATTGTTTGAGGGGATATTGGAGGAGCAGGTCTGAGAGCGTGCCTTGATGGTATTCAGGCGGGTAATCCTACTGAATTATTTAACGTATGTGTCCGTTAATGAAATCATTAATCAAATGAGCTCGACCTACTCATTTGCCAACATTGTAAAAGTTAAGGGGGATATTCAACAGACGTGGAATTAGGAGACCCTCCAGGCTTTGTTTTGGCCCTTAGGGTCGCTCCTGTAATTTGTCTTTTGATAGAAATGACCTTGTTATGAAGTTTGCCAGTCAAGAGGCAGGGCACGGGGAACGGACCAGTGAGGGTTTCATTTAATGGCCGGTGAGGTAATGCCCTAGCAGAGTTCAGGATGCCAACAGGGTTATTCTGTAGTGGAAAAGCTATGGCTGCCAAGTAAAATCTATCATTACAGCCGCACGTCATGTTAATGTATCATGCTATGAGGAAGTATTGTGCAGTCTACAGAGCATTGCATATGCATAATATACGGGCAAATACTATTACTTTATTTAATTTACTTATTTGTTATTAACCTACAAGGCAGTAAACGTGATGTTGGGGAATATTTCTCCGGAACGTGACTTACTGATAGATAAATGTCATCATTTTCCGGTTCTGTCCTATTAATCACGACACCGCAAATTCTATGAGATCTCAATTTGGTAATTGTTTAGGGGGACTGTAGAACCGAGAAGAAAGCCTTTTTGTCCCACCCCGAGGATTGACCAAGCCTTACCGGCAATAAGCATTATATAAGCATCGTCAAATTAAGGCATTCTTGCAAACTTTCGAGCTATTGGAAATAGACCTAAAGTATTATTAGGATGTTAATTATACTGATATACCCCTCATACGACATCTCCTTAGTTATTTCTCAATGGATACTATCTAATTAAAATTGCATATATAACAATATTATATTTTACAATGTGGTATTTTACAAGTTACGGAATGAATTGCTTGTCGAGTCCTTACAGAGATCTAATCTTGTCCTGGCTTAACTGCTATTGTAATTCTAGCGAACAAATTATATTAGATCCCGAATTAGTCCCTGAATTGAAGAAACAATGTGCTGGGAACGTGGCAGTTACGGTCGGATACTCCAAAACTTTTCCTAACTCTATCATGGACCTGTAAATTGGTCGGTAATTTGGCCAATTTAACTGCAAATTGAAACACAAAGCTGTTTTGGTGTTGGGTTTCTGACACATGATACATATCTTGTACTATCTTCCGGAATGTTTCTGCTCGTGATTGGAAGCGCTAGAAATTTGTAAGAAATTGGAAGTAGTTTTAACAGTAGGGAGGCGACCTTAGCAGTTACGTTTAGCCCAAACAATTACAAGAACTTATGTTTGCCGAAGCAGTACAGGACTTAAACCCGGCTTCGCGCTCACGAGAAGACTGGTACATATTATAATATCTACAAGGGTTTTGTCAGAGGGCCAGGGCCCTCCAATGATATCATGTATATACTCTGATCATGTACTTAATATTAGCTTTTGCTTGAAAGTGGGCCGAGCCTTTTTGTCTACCATTTGATCGCTAATCCAGGTCTCTAATGGGCTCCAAGAACCAAAACCCGGAGATCCAATTAATCAGAGGAGTCCAGCTATTTAGGCTTGTAGCATACCGCTCCACCATTAGAGAAATCCCCATGGCAATTAGTCGGGTTTGCTTGGGGCGCGCTGTGTGAGCTTTTAAAGCTTTTCCATATTACACAGTCTGCTATCAGGCCTATCAAAACAATCACAGAAATTAATCGAGCGTATACAGAGCGGCACACATCGGAACACATACCAGTCCAGGCTGCTCTGCTCATGTATATTTGACATGCATTACTCTTGCAAATTTGAGCGGATAAACCGTTTCGTAGCGGGTATGAGCATGGTGTATGCTCTGATATGACCGAAGATTTATCTTTCTGTTGAAAGCATGGAAGGAAGGCGAGGGGGAGGAGTTGACGTGACAGAGTATCGTGATACATATGTACGAGTTCCTACAATTAAATCAAACCCTGGAGTATAACCAGACAGAGATAAGGATATCTCTCTAAACGAGCATGAACCGCCGCTCATTACAAGCACGAGGTGGCCTAATGATATCTTGTGCACTTGTTGATATCTCCGCCTAGTTAGCCCCCGATCTGGGTAATTATCCAGATGAACTAGGGCAGGTTCAGGGTTGTTTCATGGCTTCACATGTGAGTTGGGTCTAGTCCTGTGCACTGTGCAGCACCTGCCCTCCTTCTTCTCCCCAACTACAAGCCGACCAGCTGCACCAGCTCCTCCTCCCCCGGAGACAACTCGGTTCGCACATTCATAACATGTATAAAATATATCGTGTATTTATTATGACTGAAGTGCAAACTTTTGAACTGTCCACTGGCTAGGGTTGTAGGGATTCTAAAGACAGCACGCTTCAACTGCGGGGGTGGTGAGTGATAAAACCATTCAGCCAGCAGCAGAGATAGATGGACTAAAATTCGAGTTAACTGGCTACAAGGTGGCGCTAGTTGTGGCAGGGCTTGTTGCAGGTAACCACCTCTTATAATTGTGACTTGAGTGTCTATAATTCATAATAATCAGCACGGCAGCCCTGTTCTGCGTCAAGAAGAAAGTCTAACCTGCGTCATAATAATCAGACTTGATAATGCCGCTGCCGAATGCCGATAGCTCAACCAGTAACTAGCAATATACTTAACTACCTAATAACAATAGTCAATACCTATTAGATCTACAATAGTTGCGACTCATGTGCCTGGTGAACTCATACCGTGTGTATAGAAATAGAACCATGGCTAACTCTAAGAGGGCGAGGTTACGACTGGTTCCAATTTTAGACTCCATCCATTATCTAAATTTACAAGCCATTCGGCACAGTGTGAATTTTCTCCTTTTCAAAGATCACCGCCATGACATTATTTTTTAAACTAACGTCATGGCGTTTTAAAACGGTTTCATTTCCTCTGAGTGTGGACCAAGTTCAAATTTAGAACAGTTCATACGCTATGATTTCCGTCGAGACAAATTAATAGCTTACCACCTCTCTGATATTTATATCATGTATTAAAATATGTTATAAGGTAGGAGGGCAGAACTTGAACAACTTAAGACATAGTCAGAGTCGTAACCAGGATGCGGGCAAGCTGTATTGTTCTTCAGTAAAACAATCCGTCACCCAATACTGTGCTACATTGTGTGCCACCAGTAGGACAACATAGGGACACAGAGCAGGACAGCAGGGTGACAAATGGAGGAGGAAGCAAGCCGGCACCCCAGAGAGAGAGAGAGAGAGAGAGAGAGAGAGAGAGAGAGAGAGAGAGAGAGAGAGAGAGAGAGAGAGAGAGAGAGAGAGAGAGAGAGAGAGAGAGAGAGAGAGAGAGAGAGAGAGAGAGAGAGAGAGAGAGAGAGAGAGAGAGAGAGAGAGAGAGAGAGAGAGAGAGAGAGAGAGAGAGAGAGAGAGAGAGAGAGAGAGAGAGAGAGAGAGAGAGAGAGAGAGAGAGAGAGAGAGAGAGAGAGAGAGAGAGAGAGAGAGAGAGAGAGAGAGATGGAGTGGCAGACGTGCAGACCCTCAGCCCAAATCTCTGACAGGTAAAATGTAAGGAGAACCCCCCGCGTTAGTGGCAACTTTGTATGCTAGCCAGCTAGCCCGCCCGCTCCTGGGATAAAGCCAGAACAGTCGAATACCACTGCATTTGCAGGTTGCAGGCGCTAACTTCACCGGACCTCTGTTGGCTCTTATCACTTATCTGCCCGAAAAGGTGGCCTGATTTGCAATGCCAGAGATTAAAAACGCCCTTTCTAGGTCCTTTCAGGCAAGGTTCCAGCAACCGAAAAAGAAGTTCTGGCTAATCTGGCTAATGACGGATGCGGATGGTCATGCGGATTTAAGACTGCTCAGATTTGTGAGACATGCTCATTGCTCTCTGCTTGGCGGTTGGCCACCAAATCCCGTTTAACTGCCACAAAATATGCTAAAATTAAATATGCAAACTCTGGTAACTGATGCCAAACAAACCTGAAAATGAGTCGGATGATCGTAAGGAGCTCCTTCTTTCTGTTTTTACCGGTCTCTCTTCTATCGTTACATCTTGAATTTTACTCGAACTACTGCTACTGCTGCTGCTCGAACACTGTAACTGTCGCTTCGCGCTCCGCCCTCTCGGACTCCGCGTTGGCTCCTTCAAAACAAGCTGAAATGCAGAAAATTAGTTTAGTTTTAAAATAAGTATTATCATATTTCGCAGATTCCGTAACCTTGCTAACCATGCATAACCACAAAAGTAGAGATTCTAAACCACAACTCACTCTAAATGAGATTATGATATCTGTTGAATAAGAATTGAGGACTAATATCAGGCTGATGCATTACAAAAACATGTTAAGCTTAAAAACTCTTCTCACCTCTGAGTGACTGTTTTCTGTGAAGTCGAAGGAGGGCTCCTTTTTAACGGTGACTCTAATCCTTGTGTCGGGTTTAATGGGTGGCACATACTCCAGGGGCTCCTCTTTGATCTCCACTGTGGTCATGCTGGAGCTGTGATCCGGGAAGGTGGATTCAGTGGTCATCTTTAGAGGTGGAGGTGCGAAGAAACACCGTGGGGAAGAGATGGTCGGAGACACAGGTTCATCCTTGATCTTCACAATTGGAAACCTTTCAAGTCGGAATTTAGGGGCTTGTAGAGGTTTAGGGGCTTGGCGTTGTTTCTTCATCGGGGACTCGTCAACTTTGAGGGGAGTTGAGTGGTTTACTTCATGCTTGATGGGGGTTAGAGGGGTGATGGGACGGATCCGGGCTGGGTTCAGCACCATGTCATCCATTATCGGGGTCATCAGTTTTAGACTGTTGTCTAGCATTTCAGTTGGAGTCAGGATCTTCTCGTCACACCAGATCCTGTCGTTGAGGACAATGTTGTGGCTCTGGTTGAGAGAAAAGTAGCATTCTACTTCAGCATCAGTGGACCAGGGTTCCATGGCCTCGGCCTCCTGTTTCAGTTGTAGCTGCTGATCCGGAGATAAGGGCGGGGTCGGGAGAAGTGGTCCCAGATTGAACTGAAATAGTTTTAAAGTTATATTTGATGTTATTCCGAGTATCTAGATGCTCAGCATTCTGGAAATGCAAAAACACCTATGTTACAAGTTGGGATGATTTGTAAATAATGAAATTATTTTGAAAGATTCGCGGTGATTCATTCAATTACCACTTCATCGCGGAAATATTATTTGTAACCCAATAGGTTGAAAACATGAAAACAAACGCTTTAAAATGCGTCTGGAATTTGTCTGGAATCTCGAACATACCTTGTTCTCCTCAGCATCCCAGAAGTTTTGATCGATGATCGTGTTGTTATATCCACATAGGTCGTCCATAGAAAAGTCGTCAAGCGGTTGGTCAAATAGCATCGCCATGATATCATTTAGTTCTAAGGAGAGATAGTCGGTTAGACCTTTCTAAGAAATTTCATGTACCCGTAATAATTGTACTTGAATGACTTAAAACAGGATAATGGATATACGATACTTATAAAATTTAAAGATTACACGGATAATTTGATTGTCGTTTCGGTAAATAGATTACCCAAGACATTACGAGAAATTTCCGATATTAATAATGGCCACGGTTGCTGAGGACCGTTCTTAGTAGGAGGAATTATAATCGTGTGACAGCTTACAAACAAATCAAAATAAATAAAAAATACAAGACATTAAGTCACGGTTAGAATAAAATCATTCGGCATAATGCTTGCCAGCCACAATAAAGGATTATAGGCAACACGCCCGTGTTCATCAAAGATTAAAACTGGTGAATCACAATGATTATTAAAACTTGATTCATAACTGAAGTCAAAACAACAAAGAAACATTAATAATCACGTTTTTCGTCCATAACGGAAAGCACACGATACTCCGGTCGAAGGCACACCAATTTTCGCATGTAAGAAAAACAATAAAATTTCGTGTTGATATGAAATGAGGTGGAAATTGAAACAAGTGATTATCACCTCATCTGGACTCTCTCGGGCCGACAATTACACTGAAACTGGAACACGTACAAGCAGAGAAGAAAGCAACGATATCAATAGCGTATGTTTACTGCGAGAATTTCCAGAATTTCTTGGAACGATATCAAGTATGGGAAAGATTGATTGTAATACGATTGGCACTCGTTTCATGTTGAAGGTAAAAGCTTATTTGATTATTTTAACGGGCGAGGCAACACGCACAGCAGAGTGTACAAGTGATCACAACGAAACACTAAGAAACTGAGAAGCCTAATACTGAAGAACCTCAGGCCTGGCAGAGCAGGGAGAGTAGCCTAAGGGCCTCACTCTCGCACCCAAAATTAGATCATAAGAATTAGGAAATCGTGAGATTCATTTCTGAAATCTGGTTACAGTAAGTCTCACCATTAATCACAGATGGTCATGCGGTGTGGTGGGTGATTATAATTATTTCACCATTCGAGCGGGAAGCGGGCAATGAATTCCTGTTTCCAACAACTCTGTCGGCGAGTTAGAACTTAGAGTGAAGCCGAATTTTGATTAGCTAACGAACACGCCTAACAGCAAATACACTTATATATAAATACGCAACTATATATAAATATATATTCATTCATATATATACAGGACGTGTGCTGTGATGTTGTAAAGTGCAGAGTGAGTGGCTGTAGCGAAGAGAGAAAGAAGGAGTAATAATGAATGACCTCATTTAACACAGAGCTCATGACACACAATATGTGTTGCTCATGACACACTATATGTGTTGAAGAGGTTTGTACAAGCTCTGCAGCAACACAGCACGGAGTCCCTACGCGAGTGTACCATCATCTGGTGACATAGTACAGCGATACGTGGAAAGTGGGAAATTGGGAAACAGAGCTCCGCTGCAAGACAATGAACTACCTCCCTTGCCCCTTGGCGCCTTCTTCTTCTACCCCACAGCTGCCCTCTCTTGCCCATTGTCTGGAGTTGCTTCCACTGATCATTATAAATATAGCCCTGGTAAAAGCACACGTAATAAAGCGGCCGCTTTGTGTGAGCTTTTAAGCTAAGATTATTATAACAAGAAGTGCGCTATTTAGACTCGATCCACGGGGGGTACCCAGATGTATCCAACCAGAGCGCTCCGTCTTTCAATCTAATACAGACATGATAAAGTGATTTAACAGTACTGACTTTTGATTCAGTTCATTGTTCTGAGGTTGAATTAAGGACGTTTCATGACTATTTACCGGATGGGTGCTACAGTATGATGTCAAGACGTAAACTAGGACTAAGTTAATGCTCATTCTCGAGTTTATAAGTTAATCTAATTAAGACAGACTAGGTTTCAATCTCCGTGATTTCTCAAGAAGCCTAAATTTTCCGTAGTTACAACTTACGCAAGCCTACTGGAAATACTCACGATGTCTGATTATGATTTGATTATCAATATCTGAAATATTCAAATTAATGGGAAATCGATTTGAAACTACACACAAGCTCATGACTGAAACTTATTCATGTTATTGATGTAAAGTAGCTCACTAACAAAATGAGACAATGACATACTAACATACCACAGGAAGGTAACATTGCGCTTTGCTGTGGTCAAAGTCGAGCCAGAGGCAGATTTTAACAACAAGCTTGGGGAGTTTCTGTCGAACTTAGCAAAGAAGTGCAAAATGAAAAGGCAGAAAGTCATAAGGGCATGGCCTGGGAGAAACATTAATGTTGAGGTTTCAGCTTCAGCTTGTCGTCACTCGGTCTGCTGGGAACGGTGTTGCTTTTACATGAAAAGAACTAAGAAGTGCCACTTTCACTGGATATGAACTACCATAGAATTTGGAATGAGTCATGTTATGGGAGTATGGGACCGGTTATTTTAGTCCATATAAATATTATATCATCTGTGCCAATTATTATGATTCCTCGAAGGTACAATGATTTTTATTTCAAAACACATGCCGGTGTTTGGAGTTGGTGGTGTCACGAGGCCCCATAGGGGTACCTCATTGGACACCAAGGAACCAGCACTGCCACGATTGGATGTCTTTGAAGGGGGCAGAATGAATGGCTTTGTGCTGCCCAGACAAACTCAAGAGGTACAGTCTAAACAAGAGAAGAGAAAAGGACCCCATCTGGGAAGTGGGAACAACATACTAGTTGGTGTAATAAACTAACTCAACTCACGTGTGCCTCCAAACTGTTCCAACAAGGGAAAGTGCACCTGCCCGGCCGTTATCTGGTAATCTCCAGTACAAAGGTTCACCCCTAAATTAACAACCAGGCTAATAGGTTTATTTCTAAAAGCTTAGCTAATTATCAAATTACAAATCACATTAAATGGGTAGGGCAATTCAGGGCATCAAAATTAACACTGAAGCTTTTAGAGGTTAAATTAACGCTTTATCTCGAAAGAAGGATAAGGATTAAGGAGATATCTCCTGAATGTTGATATGAAGTACAATCGAAACTTAACGAACGGTAAATTTTAGACTCGAAAATCGGATAAGACGTGACTCCCTTCATTGTCTTAACATTGAAGAAAGGAATTCAATTATCTGTCATTCGTTAACATGGAGTTTCGAGAAGACTAATTAACTTGGTAATGACGAAATTGGGTACCATTATAATCAGTACTTTCCACGATATTTACACAAATTTTGCAGGTGCAAATGTTCACGAGGACCGGAAAGGAGAATCTCCGTAGCATTACGTTACAGATAATTACCTTGATGAATAGTAATTAAAGATCGTCAAGGAATAATCGGGGAGGTAATTTAAATGATAATTTGCAGGAGTCGGGTGAAGTTTTCCATGAACGTGACGAAAGCTCAAATTTATGCATAACATTATTCTGAATCACTATCTCTCCCTTGATGAACTTCAAGGGCGCGGGAATGGGCAAAAAGATTAAAAGTTTCTTTATTTGTCATACGATCACCCACTTAGTTCCAGAATACTAAATACATAAATACGCAGTAAACCCGTAATTTACCCTCCCAGACTGAAATAACAAATTAGATCATCATCCCGGCACGCCACAAGATTGATTGCAACAAAGCACACACTGTCTCACTGTCACACTACAAACACAGTACAAGACATGAAACTAAATGAGTCCCATGACACGCCTCACACATACCTTTAAACCAAGGACAGTGAAATACAAGCCGACAGGATAATATGTGACAGTCAAATCAAAATCTCAGCATATAATCCACGCCAAATTAAGAAGTAAGGAATTAGGGGTCCCGAGTTCTTAAGTTCTGTCACGTGTCCTTATGATACGATGTGTGTGGGATTGAAGGAGTCTTGCTGCTAAAACGAGCAGTTAAACGATCATTTAACTAGCAAGTACCGGGTAATGTAGGATTGGAAGATAATTTTCCAGCACGGGATTTGGGGAAACTGTACTTAGAGGAGGGTGCTGTGTGGTAGATTAAGTGTTCAAACTGATAAATCGAGGAGGTAATTTCCCTTAATCCTCAATTAGAAGCCTCGGACAGAAAACTGTGGACTTGATACAGTATAAGTAGACACTGAGCTGCAAAGGAAATGTATCAAACTGTTGGTGGGTAAATTAATGAGGCAACTTGGGAAAGCGTAGTTACATCTTACGCGACACATAGAAGTTGTGACTCTATCGTTAGCAATAAAACAATTAATGAGATATGCATCACAAATAGAGCTAATACTAATAGCGTCATTGTCCTTTATATAGTAGCGAATGATGAAACGATTCGGAGTATTGGGACAGTATTTCCCGCGAAACCCCACGTGGAACGAGCGTGCTTCTTGGATAGTGCCAGATCTTAGTCGAGCACCATTAGAGTTGCGAAAGAGATGTTACGTTTCGGAATAGTGGGATGTTATTTCCCGCGGAATTTCACGTGGGAAGGTCCAACTTCTTGGATATTTGCCCTGCAGGGCTGCAGCTTTCAGATCTTAGTCGCTGTTTGCTGCCAAGATGTCACAATCAAGAGGTAATCGACTACCAACGCTTATATCCACCATGAAACGACTTTTATAATTGGGCTATATACACAATACAAAGCTAAGGCCAAAATACTTAACCAAAAACATACCATGCCGATATGCCTTATGTTCGGCAAATTTGTAGCCAACGAACACAGACCACACGAAAGCGACACGATCCTAACTCAGTAGCCTCTCATCACAGCATCTCAGCTTGAGCTATGTAATGTAGCCGTGTCACCACGCAGTAATGCAGTGCATAAATGAGCGAGAATCTCTCAAAGCGATAATTCAACTCAGTAAATGAATTTAGGTGTGAGCGCATCTACCGAAACAAAGTTACCATGATGCTATCTTTTGTTTGTTTTTCGAAGACAAGATAAGATGTGAGAATATTATATCAAATTTTGTTTTATTAATATTTATTTTATTTTAATGTATCCTCCCACGCGTGAGAGAGGTA